GGACCGTGTCTTTCAGCCTTTGCGTGTTACAATAGACGGGGAACACGTTGAACACACCTTGGAGAATTACCGGGATATATATCTTTGAAATTTAACAAGTAATTGCGTGGTCTTCGCGAGAGACCGTGTTAACGAGCCTGCTTTGCTACGTCCTCGTGTTCGCCGACCGGTCACACGCTAATTACTTTTACATTTAAATTAGCAGCTTTTGGACGAGTTTCACGCATACACCTTGCATTTTTTATAATCACTTCTGAGCTTTTTATTCGTTCGCTTTTCGCTCTCGCAAACGAGCACAAGTCGCGTTAAATAATCTCGACGCGTTAGTTCGCCTCTAAATATCATATCGACCTAAGTGGTCTTCTGCAATTGCCTTCGTACAAATTTCGGAATTCATAGAGGTCCTAATTTAAAATTTATAAATCGCCAAATTCACATTTTTATATTCTAAAAATTCATAAATCTACATGTTCATATCCCCTTTTCAATTCAGACACTCGCAAATTTTCCAAGTTCACAACAGAGATCCTCAGATCCTTATACCTTCACACCCTTAAATTTCCAACTCTCAACATTGTTATAACCCTACATCTCCAAATAGCCAAATCTCCAAATTTACAAATTTCAGAAAGTTGAAACTTACATATGGCAAGTAGAATCGAAGGATGTTCCTCTCCTCCTGCGTACGTGCCACTCAGAAACAGAAGCCATTGCCGCGGATCCACTCTAATACCGTACCTAGAACAAAAAGGAGAAGCATGTAAACAGTTCGGAAAGCGAGTAAAAAAGAGAAGAAATGTTTCGTTCGTTATTATCGTCCCCAGTGTCACCCTTCCAGTTTTATCTTCGAAGTCACGTTAAGCGAGTGTCTACATCGCGACACGGGTCGAAGGGCAAAGGCGTCGTTATTAACGTCTGCCTTCGGCGCGATGCTCTTCACCGGGTCCTTGAAAAAAAAAAAAAAAAGAAAAACACGCATACACACATACAGACAGAGTGGAACGAAGGGTAGGCCAAATAAAAAGTCACGGACCCCTTGATCCCTTTGTTCTTTCGGGGTAAATAATAAACGTCTCCCCAACGTTCGCTTCTGAAATTTAAAACAGGCTGTTGGACAAGGGAGGGAAATGGAAGCGTTTCTTATCTGTTCCAGATCATCCTGTCTGTACGAGCAATTTCGTGGATAAATAGATAGGCTTTTGTGACGCTTGATGGAAATAAATTTCCTTCGATACTTCAGTTACTTCTCGAGTTCTCCAGTATTAATTGTTCCAAAGTCTCAGAATTTCAAACCTTGAAACTTCCGGCGAAGTTTGAATACTTAAAAATCCCAAGGTCTCACAAGTCACGGATTATTCTCGGATTCCTGTGGCTCCAAACTTCGGAAGTTGAAAATTCTGAAATTTACAAATACAAGTTCGTACTCCAATGCTTAAAAGCCGTAGACTAAAGAGAGAAATCTAAAATCCCCAATTTCAAAACATAATCTTAAAAACGTGGAGTTAAATGTACATATGAAAAGTATAGCCTAGCGTGAGGCATCTAATTCAGAACCCCTACACTTGTCCTAACTAACAGATAGCGAAGTTTTACGGGACTGCACGTTGTTCGGGCATGTAACTGATTTTTATAGCTCTATATCGGAGGAGATTTATCGCGTACCATCGTATCAATCGGAACCATCAGGAACGTTTGTTGCAACCATTCAACGAAGACAAACGAACTAGATTCGTAGTAACCGGATAGAGAAGGAGAGTGTAAAAAAAAAATGACGGAAAGAGATGGGTAACCGACACTAATGGCTTCAGGTCGAGCGCGTCGACTAACGATGATAAACGAGGCTTATAGGTGAAGTAATTAAAGTATTTGAAGTGGGCGCGGTTCGACACGGGGGAAGGATATTTATTGGGATCGGTTCGTTTCGCTTCTTCGTCCTTCTTTTTTTGTCCGTTTTTTTTGTTTTTTCTTTTTTTTGTTGGTTCCTGGCCCTCTTTGTCGACGCAAAACGCAATCAGTCACGTTGACGCAGCCAACGATAATTGAAGAGCGAGCCGGAAAAATCAAACGCTTATAATTGATAGCTACTGCACACTCCATGCGATGGCGAGCCAAAAGTGATTCCGAAAGGGAACACCAATCCCTCTACTGTATTACCGAGCGGTAAATCACCGCGACGAGACCGGCACCGCGTATATCTTTGTGCAGTTTCGTCGATTGAATTGTTAAACACTTTTGTTCCGAGCGGGCAAAAAATCGATACATCACCGTCCAGTCAGGATTTCCGGTAATGCGAGCTAATACCTTTCCGCGATGTAAATGAAAGACGCCAAGCCACAAAGACCCGGACACGCTGGAAATCGCTTTGCGGGCAAAACAAAGAATTGGCAGATCGGATTGATGAACAGCTATTCGAAAGTTGCTTAGTTTGCGGAACGGCTGACCCGTCGAAACAAACGGAACGCGTGCTCGGATTTCTTCATTCCGGAATCTAAAGTGAACTCGCTGCGTGACCAACAAGATACGCGTCGCGCTGTAAAATGGAAAATATCTGTTTTTGCCGAGCGGAGGAACGACGACGATAAGAAGTGACAGTTATCGTTATGGGCATATTCACATGATGAAGATGGAGACTCGTTACGATACCTCTAATTTTCATCAATTCGTATTCATGCAAACTGCGGTCTAATCATCGATTTCTTCGTGCCGCGTATTCTTCGTCGAATGTTTCTGGATGAGGAACGTCAAGAAATTATGCATAATATTTCTGGATCTAGGTTAACTTAACAGATACAGAATTTTTCTCAAAAACGTTTAAGATATTTTTAAAGATCTACTTTTGCAACTAGCTACCTACTAAAATGTTATGTCCAAATTTATCTGTAACCTGTAGAATTATCTTGAATACGATTCCGCGTCAATTTTTCACAATAATAGCAACGGAATGACATTTCTTGGTTTCAAATTAGAACGATTTAAAATCGGGCGTAATCCGATAACAATCTGGATAGGTCGACCGAAAGTTGAAAAGGTCAAAGGTCAAATTAAACCACCTACTTTAGGTAATGAAGATATGAAATAAAAATGGAATATTAATTAGCTCGGGTAATAGAAGTTTAAAAGTTAGTTGTAGACCACGGATCACCGGGAGATTAATTTATGAACTTCAAAATGTCGTGTGTGTGTGGTCGACATTTTACTGAAAGAACAATTTTACTGTTAAGCTTTTATATCCCATATGATAGATAATTCAGGCAAATTAATATCTAATAAATTCTTCTTCCCAACAATTTGTTTCGATTTTAATTACAATAAAGTATTTACCATAATACAATATCGGGTATTTTACTAATGCATGAATTAAATATTAATATAATCAATGATCCTTTGTAGTTAAATACGAACATTATTCATGTTACGCAATATTATTATAATTGAATATGTATTACATGTACAAATTATATGCACAGCGGGAAATTCAGCAAGATTCATTAAATTTCAATACATAATTCACGTGTTAACGAGAGACCTCATTATCTTCAGAAATAATTTTTCTATAAATCTGCGAGGATAACAGTTATCGTTAAATCTGCTTTATGTGACCTACGATATCAATTCAGGGATATTGTAAAATTGTTTTTTCTATTGGCGATCGTGTACCAATTAATATCCAGCTAAAACTGTCCGAAAAGGCGTGATCGTTACGAGAGATCAATCAAACTGCACGTTCAGAAATTTCGAAATGCAGATTGTTAAAATATTTCTCGTCCATGGGTACCGATCATTATAAATCTCGTAGCAGCACGTAAAATCAATAACGAACGGTTTCGGTTGTTCAGACACCGAAATAAAATTTCGGGCAAACACGCTATTGTTTGTTATTAAACGTGTAAAGTTTTGCTAAGCAAACTGCGGTGCAGTGTCTCGTCCCAGATTAATTTACGATAAAAGCCGTGAACCGGCATCAACAAGCTGAAAGAATTCGCTCGCTATCGATCGTATTTACACCTACTTCCATCCACGGGAGAGAAACCAAAGTAGGTGTATAAACAAAAATTTCAATCACCCGTTCCTGCGTTTCAGCCGTTGCAACGGGTCGCTTCCGGCGGCGAGGCTTGCAGCTTTATTGGATCTATGAAAAACACGGTACCCGGTGGCTGTTTATTTCAGATAAGGCTGATAAAGCAGCCGAAACGGCGAGGACTTGAGGGGATATCGCAACCATCGAAACTCATCGGTCCAAGGCGTGACTGAGAACGATATTAAATTTCTTTTCCGGAACGAGAATGGCCGCCCCTGATCCGGGCGCACCCGTTAAATCCGCGCCCCCGTTCTTCGCTCGCCGAAGTTCGTTAATACAGCGTCACGATAAAATCCCCAATTCCGCGTCGACCAGAAAAGAAGAACGGAGATGGATAGAGGGGCGAACGAGAAAGGGGTCGTACCGGTCGAACCGACCGATAAAGAAAGGGAGAAAAGACTCGAGATTGAAAGAGTTACGGTGTCAATATGGAACCGTACCGATCGAAAAAAAAAGCTGGATCACGAAACTTTCGGGGGAAAATATTGGATACATAACGAGAAAGGGGTTTATCTGGTAACCGCAGCCAGGAGGCACGTTTTCGTTGTAACTTTTGATCGTTTAATACGACAGTTTTACTACCCGATCGCGGTAGAAAGGGCTGAGTGTATTGAAACGCGATAATGAAAAGCGTGATGTAAACTAATCTTTTATGCTTTTCTCTCGCGCTCGAATTTTATCGAGATCCAAAAAGAAGCGGCATAAACGTACCGTAATATGTAGCCGTGTTAAGCCGCTCCGGCTGCAAATAAAAGATCGATGACCCGTTTATGATCATGCGCTCGATCGTTAATGCGATTTAAAACAGCACGTTTAGGGGTGTAATACGGTGAACGGAATTTTGTCCAGTGTGTCGGCTCGATCATCTAATGGAATTTCAAGTTCATAGTGTAATTGGCACGATACGATTACGGGTACAAAGGTTTATCGTGCAATCTGTCAGTTTAAATCACTTTCCGTGGGATCGTTAATCGGATTAAAGTGCTGCCGGAATGAGCATGCAACTCGGCGTAAACATTCAACAGCGGTATCCTCAATTAGATTCGAAAGCATGTCCGCGACAACTCGCGGCATAATCGACTTGTTAATGAACTGCGCGGTCCCGCGCGCGGAACATTTGAAACACAAATCGGTGCGAGTCGATGAAAAGAAGACGCGATCCTCGTTTTTCTCGTTTACCTCGCGACAGGGCTTGTTAGCTCAATTTTCCAGGGCTTTCTGTCATATAATTCGCGGAGAACTTTCGCGGCAAACCTGAACAAATCCTCTGAAAACAAACTGAAGTTACCGGCCACTTTAGGCCAAACTCTAAAGCAAACTTATTTCTAACAGGGTAACACGCTTCCTACATCGTGCTAAGCCATTCGGCGATAAACTTTGTCGTGACTGATGTTGATTTGAAAGAACGCACTCGGGAAAATCGCCAGTTTCGGGAGCTCGCTTACGATTGATTTACGACGCGAGTATTGAGGGTAAAGAAAGACGGACGAGAACCCCGGGACGAAAACTATCGTGATGCTGGAAACGTTAATGCCATTTTTCGCGCAGTAATACCGGAGAAACTGTGCAGTTTCGAGGATTCGCCGACTATGGTCCGTGTAATCCGGATGAACGGGTGGACGAGTTTTATTTCTCGGCATGACGTGAATCCTTGCGAAAATCGCGGCCAAAATAGAACGGAGGGGATGAACGTGACACGATGGATTCGACCGTTCCTCCGCGAGACGCGAACGGACCGATATCGAATCGCTGGAAATTTTCAAAGCCGGACATTGTAATCGTTCCTACGAGTATGAAAGCTTCCCGGAAATACCGGCGAAACTTGATCGCGAATCGATACTTTCTGCTTGTTGTTCAAGGGTATCTATTGTATCAGACGGAACGTCCATACGCTACCTTTTTCATTTAATTCTACCTGCGTTCGTGGTGGGCATTTTGCAGAATACTACTGGAGAAGGAAACACTGTTCATTCATCGAACTATTAGCATGTTACGTCTGTACAATTATTTATTTAAATCTTTGACGATGCTAATTTTTAACGCTGTACTATAATAAAATAATGAAACATAAAATGGTGAAGGTAGCTGTATCCTTCGATCCGATATCTCAGATCTTTAACTTATTAAAGTTGGAAAACGATTCCGGAGCAAGTTCGATGATTCTCCCTTGGAGTACACTTCTTTTCGATTTATCGGTTCCCGGAACGAACACCAAACACAAAAAGGTGTCCTTATTTCGTCGTCGATTCCCTTCTCCCTACAAGTTTCGCGAATCGTGCCCCCATAAACTCGGTCCGTTAAGAATTGCACGGAGCTTCGTACAGTTCCAGTTTAAGTGCATAAATTATGAGCAGATCGTGAACCTTTCAAAAAGTTTCCCGCACGGAGCTACACGAAAAAGGGTAAAGAAGGAGAAGAAACTTCGATACCCTGTCTCCAAACCTCTCCACGGACTTTTATCGATGAAGCTGAAGTCTTTCGCCGAGAGTCCGATTAATTGAGCTCTCTTCTTACTTTCTTCCCTTCTCGTAGAAGCGTTCTGCATCTTTCTTCCACAGCCTGTCTCCTTCAACCTCCGTCCTTGTGCTCCTCCGCATCAATTAATCTCGATCGTCGTGAAATCGCGTTACCGTCGTCTTATTTCTCGAATCGACACCCGAACGCTCCTTTTTGCATCCAACAAACGCTAAAGTGCACTTTTTTCATGGATTTTATATCTAGAGGTTGTTGGATATAATTCCGTATGCATATGTGATCATACATTCAGATTTATAGAGATTTATATGTCTTAAATCTACGCGTTGGATTTCCACGCGTTGGGTTTCTACGCGTTGGATTTCTACCCGCTGGATTTCTACGCGTTGGGTTTCTACGCATGGAATCCCAGCGCACTCAATTTCCACGCGTGGAATACCTACGCACTGAATTTTTACGCGTGGAATCCCAACGCACTCAATTTCCACGCGTGGAATTCCAACGCACTGAATTTCTACGCGTGGAATCCCCACGCACTCAATTTCCACGCGTGGAATACCCACGCACTCAATTTCCACGCGTGGAGTACCCACGCACTCAATTTCCATGCGTGGAGTACCCACGCACTCAATTTCCACGCGTAGAATACCTACGCACTCAATTTCTACGCGTGGAATACATACGCACTGAATAATTTCCACGCGTGGAATACCTACGCGTGGAATTCCAGCGCACTCAATTTCCACGCGTGGAATTCCAACGCACTCAATTTCCACGCGTGGAATCCCCACGCACTCAATTTCCACGCATGGAATACCTACGCACTGAATTTCTACGCGTGGAATCCCAACGCACTCAATTTCCACGTGTGGAATACCTACGCACTGAATTTCTACGCGTGGATCTCCCAGTTCCATCACTATTTTTTCACCTGTCTCATATCCTTCACATCCTTACATCCTCCACATTCCCATCTTGATATCCATCTCTATATCACATCCGAAAGACCTCCCATCCCTAAATCACTCTACAGTATTAAAAATTTAAATACTGTCCGTCTAATTGCATCGTAAAAGTTGAGAGTACAAGCATCCAGATAAAAATCGTTCCGTCGCAAAGAACTGATCGGAAGCATAAATATTCGATACAATTAAGTCCAGGCGAGGCGGTGAAAAGTTTGGAAATAATATCGCGGAAGTATCGAAGTGGGATAAAAGTTTCAGAAGGAATTGTGCAATCGAAGAATAATTCGTCGGCAGCCGTTTCTCCAGGCCGAGGACGATTCTCGTTGCTGGTCACGCATGGAATCACTTCCACCGTTCGCCGGGAAGTGACCTGCAGCCACGTTTGTTTCAGAAACGCTTCGAGACTACCCGGAGCAATTACGTCGCGAAAGTTTCCTTCGAAAGTTTTTCCACGCTTAACGAGCGTGATAAATTTCTGTTACGCGGCCCCGAGAGCCGCCGGACGCAGGCCCGAGACTTTACAACGGCGATAAAAATCTCGTGGAAATTATTCATGGGGGTTGCGCTTGTACTTCGCCCTTCGTCGTTCAACGAGCGAAAATTGGAGGTTGAGGGCGACGAAATCTTTAGGGCTCGCGGGAGATCAAGCTCGCGGCGCTCTGTTAATTTTATGATTACACGACTACGAGATGGCTTTCTCTATCGATAAATTAATTAACTTTTGGTGGGTTGTTACGTTTGGCGAGTGACATCGGCAGAATACAAACGCTTACAATTTCGAATACGCATTGGGATCGTTTGGTGGGAAATCGATACGACAATTCAACTGAAATTCAGCATTAGCCTCGATTGTTGTAGATGTATAGCCAAGCTAGAACTATAGCCGCGAGGATAATTAATATGCCTGTCGCTGTGTCTCTGACAATAACCTTTATAATCGCGTACAAAGGTTTTATCAGTTCTGTAACGTTGATAATCACGTAATTATCGAAATAGATTAGACTGTCAGCGTGACTTTGATTTTCAATGAGCCTGTCGTCAATAGACCAGGAACCGTGCATTGTGCTTGAACGACACGGAAACCTCATTCTTCTTTATCGATCTGATTATTCCACCGTTTATTTCTACCGAAACACTCAAATTTCACGAATTTCATGAAATATTCACGAACACTATGCTACCAATTTATACGAATAATTCATTTCATTAACTTGTTCGTACCGATTAAATAATTCATTTCGTACGTTTCGTCTCTCTTCGAAACTCTAACCTGATGAAGCTGTCAGTTCAACGAACATGTTTCCCTAAGCGACATGCTTGAGCCACCGATCGGATCGTGTCCAGATTTACCAATTTTTTCTTCGTGTTTCCCAAGCACCGACCCTCGACAAGTCGTATGATCGAGAGGTCCACGCTTCGATAACTCTGTTCCTATGTATATTCGAAAAAATCCTCAAGGGACCCGTTCAACGCTGAAACTCCAGCCAATATCGCAGCAAGATAGAGGTATCAGTGTCACTAGACGTTGCGAATATTTTGATAAATTATTCCTCTGCCCATCAAATTAATGCTGACAAATAGGACAAGATTTCACAATTTTTCTTCCATTATATTTTGACGTAGCAATCATTTACAGAAACTTGTTTTGTTGCAAATTTTGTGTGGACTTTTGCGTATATTAGGGGCGGTGCATAGGACGCGTGCAATATATCGCTATGTAGTATATTGCCGGGGGATGGAATTTCACGTGTTGGATTTCCACACGTTGGATTTCTACGCGTTGGATTTCTACGCGTTGGGTTCCTACGCATGGAATCCCAGCGCACTCAATTTCCACGCGTGGAATACCTACGCGTGAAATTCCAGCGCACTCAATCTCCACGCGTGGAATACCTACGCGTGAAATTCCAGCGCACTCAATTTCCACGCGTGGAATACCTACGCACTGAATTTCCACGCGTGGAATACCTACGCATGGAATTCCAACGCGTGGAATACCTACGCGTGGAATTCCAGCGCACTCAATTTCCACGCGTGGAACACCTACGCACTGAATTTCCACGCGTGGAATCTCAACGCACTCAATTTCCACGCGTGGAATACCTACGCGTTGAATTTCTATGCGTGGAATCCCAGCGCACTCAATTTCCACGCGTGGAACACCTACGCGTGGAATACCTACGCGCGGAATTTCAACGCGTGGAATCTCAACGCACTCAATTTCCACGCGTGGAATACCTACGCGCTGGATATCTGCGCGTTAGATTCTCTCGCGTTAGATCCCGACACGTTAATTCCCTACGCGTTAGATCCCCACACACTATAACCTCACAAATTCTGTCCCTACGCGTTATACTCCTACAGAAACCCTATCCACTCATCGTATCCTCACTCTATCATTTTATTACCCACGAAGAATCGCAACAAAGTCCAATAGGAAGAATATCTCGAGTCCAAAGCAATCCATTGTTATCCGAATCTCCCGCTACCCCAGTATTTCATAGCAATATGACAAGAGTCTATAGGTGTATACATAAATCACTTTCTCCTTGAGTGGTGGCTATCCAAGGCCCAGCTATGGACTTCGAATCATCGTGATTCAACGAATCCGATCACGTATCGTCCGCGCTGGCACGTTTGATATGGCAGCGGTCTTATCAAGATTCTCGATATATACTCACTTTATGAAATTTTCCAACAGCAATCGGATTCCACCGATGCCCAACAACAGGAAGCCCCAGTTGACGAATCCCGTGAAGTTGTCGAAGCCAGAGCTCCAGGAGAAGAGACTGTCTCTAGGACGATGACATCTGTAAGGAGAAAAGGAAGGTCCAGGTTAAAAGAAATACTCGTTCCAGATCGATAGCACATTCGTCGTTCGCGATATAAAGGAAGAAAAGGCGCCATAGAAACGTAGTCTAGAGTAAGAATGGAACAATAAAGTCGCTTCCATACTGTTCGGTTATATGCATATCCATTTCAATTTACGAAGAAACGCGCGATTTATGCAACGTATTGAAAACATTTGCTCGACTTCTTCTTACGTCCACCTTTTCCCTTGCCATCGCTCTATATTTCCCCTTTTTTTCATGTCTCTTTTCCAGACAAACAGAAATGATCCGTGCACGATGCATTCCGCTTGAAATGAACCTAGTAGAAACGAGCGGACGTTGTCGGACAAGCGTATTAAAGACAGTCTCGTTTCCACATTTCTTACCCACATGTGAAACACTACCGCTTTGGGCAACACGGTTCTTTAGGAATAAAGATTGCTGAACAGAAGTTGGGGTAGGTTGGAAGTTTTGTGAATTTGGGAATTCGAGAATTTGGAGATTTGTGGGAATTAAAAATTCCGGGATGTGGCATTGTAGGAATTTAGAAATTCAAGGATTCGAGAATTTGACTAATGTGGAAAGCCCAGCGCACTCAATATCCACGCGTGGAATACATACGCGCTGAATTTCTACGCGTCGAATCCCAGCGCACTCAATTTCCACGCGTGGAATCCCAGCGCACCCAATTTCCACGCGTGGAATCCCAACGCACTCAATTTTCACGCGTGGAATACCTACGCGCTGAATTTCTACGCGTGGAATCCCAGCGCATTTAATTTCCAAGCGTGGAATACCTACGCGTGGAATCCCAGCGCACTCAATTTCCACGCGTGGAATACCTACACGCTGAATTTCTACGCGTGGAATCCCAGCGCACTCAATTTCCACGCGTGGAATACCTACACGCTGAATTTCTACGCGCGGAATCCCAGCGTACTCAGTTTCCACGCGTGGAATACCTACACGTTGAATCTCTACGCGTGGAAAACCTCCCCAAATTCCCAAATTTCCAATAACCCAAGTCCCCAAATTTCCAACTACCCAAGTCCCCAAATTACCAATCGCCAAAAGTAGCCTCCTTAACATCCTTAATCAGCCTTTGTATACCAAACAAATTGCAGTCAGCGATATAAGCGAGTTACTCCATCGAATATCGATCAGAAGAATTTCTAGAAAATACCTGTCTCCGATGAACGAACAAACGAACGAAAAATCAAGGCACAGTCAGGCGATCAAAATTTCAGGCTGTCCACGTGGATCGCGACAGAAAAACCTATCCAGACCGAATCATATTACGCGGCCGTCACACGGACGAATAATTATACCAAAACATTGTTCGCCGTCACGTTTCGGATGGTCCGCGAGGTAAAAACGTGTTTCGTTCTTTATTTCGTTTCGCGCGGCCGGTATGCACCGATTATTCTCTCCGTTTCCATCGCCGTTTCGTCGGAAGGGTAGATTCCGCTTTTTTTTCCTTTTCTCATTTTCCACGTCGACTTCTCTAACAGCACGATCGGCCACATTTTTAAATTAGCGGTCGTCAGACTACGTCGACCGTATTAACGCGGTTTCATAGCCATGAATTTTAGATGTTAACCTTCCAGGTGCCGTGCAACCCGATAACTAGGTCAGATGTGATCCACGTTTAAACTTTACAAATGCACTTGTGGTGTGAAACACGAAAAACGCGGTGCTATGCTAATTTATTGCATAAATTTTTCACGAGATTTCTAGGTATCATACATTTTTCACAGAAATGTGATTTTGATGTAATTTTTTAACAAAGTAATTCCAACCCTATGTACACCTTTACTTTTACTTATAACAACTATACTAGTCTATTTCATAAATAAAAATTATTTCCGTTTTGTATACATGTGCTAGGAAAAACTGATCGGTAGTTTCGATTGTTAGGTCTCCAATGACTCTACCATCGATATGCATCGCGAAACTGTGCATGCAATTTTTATCCGTGAAAGCAGTGTTTCGGATCCTGTTCGAATGAATTTTAACGATCCGACACCCCCACCTGGTCAAGCTCGATTTGTCCTCGATTCATGGTCGGCTAAATGGACGCCACTGTCAGCGTGGCAAGGAAATAATTCACGCGATGTCGTCGCGCGAACAGCTTCACCGAGAAGATATTATTGCTTTCACGAAATTATGCTGTGTCTGACGTTATTACCTCGGCGACTGGTGTCCCTCGCCGTCGAGCGTTACGAGCAAACAGTTCCACGAGTCGCTTTATGACGTCAATAATCGAGGCTTTTGCCGGTCGCAAGATGAAAACTCGTCTCTAACTTCTTCTTTTCGTGCGTGTAACTGAAAGAAAGGCGCGCCAACTGGTCCGCTTTCGAGCGCAAGAAGTATGCTGGTCTAAAACCGGGATACCGAGTATCAAAACTTTGCAAACTCCACGGCAACTTGCCTCTTTTTATGGGCACGCGAGACGAATCTCTTGTTTCGGTCAAGTGCTTTGTTTCGAACAGATGTTGCTATATGTCATGATGCACGTGAAGATTTTGGGGACGGTTTTAGAGGACGTTGGTGGAGTAGTGAACTAAGCTGGCAAACTGAGGAAGGACGCGTAGAAATTCAGCGCGTAGGTATTTCACGCGTGGAAATTGAATGCGATGGGATTCCACGCATAGAAATCCAGCGCGTAGGTATTCCATGCGTGGAAATTGAGTGCGCTGGGATTCCACGCGTAGGTATTCCACGCGTAGATATTCCACGCGTAGGTATTCCACACGTAGATATTCCACGCGTGGAAATTGAGTGCGATGGGATTCCACGCGTAGGTATTCCACGCGTGGAAATTGAGTGCGCTGGGATTCCACGCGTAGAAATTCAGCGCGTAGGTATTCCACGCGTGGAAATTGAGTGCGCTGAGATTCCACGCGTAGAAATTCAGCGCGTAGGTATTCCACGCGTGGAAATTGAGTGCGCTGAGATTCCACGCGTAGAAATTCAGCGCGTAGGTATTCCACGCGTGGAAATTGAGTGCGCTGAGATTCCACGCGTAGAAATTCAGCGCGTAGGTATTCCACGCGTGGAAATTGAGTGCGCTGAGATTCCACGCGTAGAAATTCAGCGCGTAGGTATTCCACGCGTGGAAATTGAGTGCGCTGAGATTCCACGCGTAGAAATTCAGCGCGTAGGTATTCCACGCGTGGAAATTGAGTGCGCTGAGATTCCACGCGTAGAAATTCAGCGCGTAGGTATTCCACGCGTGGAAATTGAGTGCGCTGAGATTCCACGCGTAGAAATTCAGCGCGTAGGTATTCCACGCGTGGAAATTTAGTGCGATGAGATTCCACGCGTAAGTATTCCACACGTGGAAATTGAGTGCGCTGGGCTTTCTACATTAGTCAAATTCTCGAATCTTTATTCACATTTCACATTTTATAAGTTCTTTGGTTCATTTATTCTAGTAGTTCTTTGTTGCTGTTATTAGATTCATCTAATTATTCGAGTATTTATAAAGAATACAGAACAAATTCTAGTAGGTATAATCTTTATGGGTTTAGTAATATAGCGACCTTCGCTTGCCCGTAGTTTAACACCTATTGTGAGAAAATATACCAATCGGTTGAATAAGTCATAACGGAATGGTGGAAAGAAAGTGGAACAGGTGCAGTAGGTGTTATAGCAGCGTCTAATCGAAGTCTATTCAGCTCGTAATCAATTATTTCGTTCGAGACGAAGTAGAGTGTAGAGTATAACAGTTGGTAAACTGTTGAAGATTTGGCCGGAGTGGCGTGGCAAGCAAGGTTCCCCGAAGTGCACCTAACCGTGCGGTATGGCATCGTCCGAAGGATCGTTTACGCGTTTATTGCTCTGCTCCTGGTATCCGGATAAGTCGGTCGCGACACTTTGAACACCCAGTAGAGCGGCACTCATGCATATGGAAGTTGCTGGTGACACGTCTGCATCCTGCCATGCAGGCCGAGCCCAGTATCAGAAGTGTGAGATAGCTCTTCCTGTGCGGCTCTCGGCAGACCCTGCTGGCTTTATCGCGGCTCTATTAATTACCACGATCTGCCATAAATTCAGAGTAATAGTTGGGATTTACTCGAGACAGCGGGGAGGTTAAACGATCACATTAAATGCACATAGTTGCAGGACATACGGGACCTTCTGTCAGGTAATTACGCGGGACAAACGGCGCTGTATTTTGGAAAAGGTTTCCTTCGTCTGTCTTTAATCTTCGGCTTTAACGCTCCCCCTTTTACCGAGTTACTTTTCTAACTGCCATTCTCTTTCTCTTCTCTCGTTCTTATCGGATATTTGGTCAGTACAGCTCCTTTGAGATTTTCAAGACTTAGCGCCAGAAGGATTCTCCCGAGTCGAATTACTCGTTGGACATCGCCCGTAAATACTTAAGATCGGTGACTCGCCGTCATACTGGCTCGGAAGCCTTTCTACTTTCAACCTTTAATGGAAAAGGCAGAACGAGCAAGATGTAGAACATTGAAGTTTAAACGCGGGGTTAAGACTTCTAGCACCTTAAACACTTAGGGCTCCATATGTGTATCTCGTTTAAAACGCATCGTAAAATAAAATTATACTTCTTGAAATGCGCAAGTTTGAAGTTCTGGGAATTTTGGAAGTTTTAAAGGTCCTTCAGGACTTCGAGGGTTTACAGAAGTCCAAAAGTTTGGAACTTTGGTAAGACTGCGAAATTTTGGGAAATAAATGACCTACGATAAATTCGACTATGGATTCCACTGGTAATTTCCTCGAGACGATAAGCTCCGAACGCCAACTTATTTCGCTGGATGGTTAATTCCGTTCGAGTCAAATTTTCGGCGAGGAAAAATTCGCTAGACTAAAGTTAACTGGCTGAAGCACACGTGAAAACGGGCATTGTATTTTTAAGCAACGCCGCGGATCGCGCTTTGTTTCGTCTCCCTAAATTCTCGCACTCAGACAAGCACGTCTTATCCGTAGAAGGAACAGGGCTCTTTCTCGAA